GCATCATCGGTTTTGGCAGGGCAATTCTGGCAGACACCCCCGAATTAAAAGGGGCTAGTTTCGCCCCTGTTTTTATGACACTAAATCTTCAAAATATTGCATGGTGCACAAACCAGTCTGAAGGCAATATAAAAAATATGTACAGTAACAAAGTGACTACTTAGATAGATAGCTTCCAACTATTAAATATAATTTTTAAAGTGCATATATTATTTTCTCAACAATTGGTTTTAGACAATCAGAAATACAAATAATTCTACTGATTCCGATTGTCTATCGGTACTGATAACATCATAGGCAAAAATCAGCCCAATACTAATACTGATTGTCAGTCAATCACTAAAAACGGGCACTGGTAATTTAACAGTTGATATTTCTTATTTGGTAATATAAAAACTTTTTGCAGTTGCATTCAGCAAGCTTGCTGATAGTGTATTCATGGTGTATGCATTATTGGTGTTAATTGGCTGCAGATTAAAAGAGTGCAGGTTCGAATTAATACAATGCTTCTAAATAAAAACACAAAGACCTTCCACCTTGTAGGTGGCCCTTCTGCCTGCTGGCAAGGGGACTACTATTTATCATTTACAGGCCCGGAGCGAGGGGGATTCAGCGGAATATTACCTGAAGTGATGATATTTCCCAAGGGGCTTTGCCCCAAGGGAAATATCATCACTGAGGGTAATATTTCGACGAATCATCCCCCGAGCGGAGGGTCTATAAATTATATATTATACCGAAAGTTAAAGAACCCAACATAATGTCAACATTATTGTGATTTATGGCCTTTGAAAGTCAAGCGAGATCGTAGTATATTAAATTAATACGCATGTAATTGTCTGAACGAAAATATAGACTAGCCCATACCTTTCGCCGATCATAACTTCGGCCCCTTCGGACGTATGTTCTTTGTTAAATATTCTTGTACGAATCGCTATCAAAAACACTACTTAGAGTGTTATTTTTCAGCTTGTAACTTTAAATTTGCTTTTATTACTGATGGTATTCCATTTCTGGTCTGGCTTGACGTGAACTAATTTCAAAACGCAGAGTCATATGGCAGAGTTTCAAAACGTCAAAAAATTTGGTTAATGATTAACATTTAACCGAATTTAGCCGGTGATTGACAACTACATAAAAATACTAACCAATCCGTTTTTTCCGTTCACCAGCGGACGGGTAATTCAAAAACCCCTAGTTTTGCGGCAGACGGTATTTCCTTTGACTCCCTAATTTTCGCTGCCTGTAGAAATACCGCCTGCCATGCAGGCTATGCAGGCCTAGAAAACAAATTTTGTTAAACTTTTTCCTTGGCCTTTCCGGGCGTTGCCACCAGGCTCCGGCCAAAGCAAGCAGCAGCACCCCCAGATATTTATCCCCCCCCTCCGAACAAAAATATGAAAATCCGTCTCTGGTCAATATTACTCTTTTAAAGCGGAAAATATAGCGAAACAACAAAAATGCCGAGAACTTTGGCAATACATGTGACATCACAGATTGCAACTAGGTTTACACATGTAAAAATGCTCAGGTTGATGGCATACTGATGAAAACAGGATTGAACAATGTTTTGCTGCCCACATTGTTCATAGCTGTCAACAATATTGAACAATATTGTTACACCTGATTCAGGCTCAACAACATTGTTCAATATTGTTGACAAGTGTGAACAACATGGGCAGCAAAACATTGTTCAGTCCTATTGAGCAACAGGCTCGGCATTTTTTGCCATGTAGACTGTGACGTCAGGAAGTTTCCTATCCAGTTATTTTACAATCCATGATCTCACACTGCATTGCAAAATCATGAATTCCAGGGGTCGAAATTTAAATTTTTTTCTACTATACAGCCGGAATAGTAGATTTTTATATTTACTATTACGTCTGAAGGTCCACTATTCCTTAATGTATACTGTTTCTGAGAGCCTGTTCATGCAGGTCCGTGCTAATGTTCTGATTTTCATGTGATATATTATACAAGAAGAAAACCCTAGCTTGTTGATATTTGGTACCACAATATGTTCTGCTGTACAAACGGAATACTGTGATCATGAAGTTTACTATTCCATCAGGCATTTTAGTATATTCGGAATAGCGGGAATTTCAACCCCCGATTTGAGTGAAATACCGTAAAAAATCACATTGTCACGTGGTACAAATTCTTTTTTTTTATTAGACAATTTGAATTTGAGGTATAATATTAACATATTATGTATGACATATAATGATGGTATATTTATATATTACATACAACGTGACAATGTGTCGTGACTGATTTTTCAAATAACTTCAATTTAACACTATAAATCAACATTTAAACCTGGTTTACACTACGATGTGACCAATTTCTACTCAACACGACATAAACCACAACATAATTTCCACAAATATATAATATCATACCTGCATCTCATCAATACTCGCTCCACACTTTTCTAAGTCGATTCTCTTGACTGCCACTCTCTCATTTTGTGGTTTACACAAAGCTGCCTGTACGACAGCAGTTGCTCCATATCCTACGACATAAAACATTGCTTAGTTTGTGCCTTCAATGGCGAACACAAAGGTTACAATTTTAGCTTACCTATGACTTCCTGAAGATCGTAATCGTTCGAAGTATTTGGCCATTTCTTCAATGAAGCGTTGCTGGAAGTCGCCATGTTTATTCACTCCCAATAACCGCTGGCCGAAATACGTCATATATGATTGGAACCTGAATATTCATAATAAAGTGAATCCCAATGTGAATCCCTGAAAACTCAAACAAATTATGGTGGTGGCAACCTCGTATCCAGGGCTTTTTGCTTCTGCGGTTACTGCCTCCTCCGCAGGCCCTCGTTGTGTCATGGGAAGGTCACGATTTCGAGACGGCCTGCGAAATCTTGTAAAATAAATAAATGTTGTTCGAAACCTGCTTCGTTTAAGAAAGCAGTTTTATTCTTGCAACGTTGGTGTGGACAACAAACCTTATCGTTAAAAAATGCTTCCTTCCACGTTCTCAGATTCGCCATTTTACTTTACAAGTTTCACGCCGCTTTTTTACAGCCTGTTTATATTCAAGATTATTCCGCAGATTACAATATTCCGCAGGCCCTCACATATAAACTATTTCGCTGACCTCAGAATGACATTTCGTCAAAACTTTTTTCTTCATGATTGGCTTAGAAACAAATTTGGAGTAGGGTTAGGTTAGGATTAGGATAAGATTAGGGTTAGAGTTGGCGTTTGGAGCAGGGCCGTTGTGTTAGTAAAACCGTTGCTTTGTTATGTTTTGTCACTCTGAAGGCCAGCGAAATAATCTCTTCCTCACCAGATTGTGTGTGACCTTCCCATGACGCAACAATGGCCTGCGGAGGAGGCAGCTGCGGTTACGAGGTTGTGGTGGGAATATTATGGTGGGAATGGTGCTTTGTGGTGGTGGATGTAGTAGTCCTCCGCAGACCCACCTTAAGTATTAACGAAAACTAACAGAGTGAAGTTTCAGTGTATGGCAATAATCGAATTAAATGAGCGCGCGGCAGTTTTCTAGGTATTCAATCAATCAAAAATCAATCAAAAACTTTATTTTAACACGGTGAAATCTACATGCAGTATAACATTTTACAAGATAATTAACTAACATATAATTACAATTACGCTATGACAATTAATATACACTTTAAACTTATCCAAACACTAAAATACTGACTTACAAGATTGCTGTGCGGGAGTCCATCTCATATAGAGAACAGATTGTCAATTGCTCTTTTGAATTGACTTAGGGAGCATGTTGCTCGTACATTTTGTGGTAACTCGTTCCATAAAACTGCCCCGCTACAACTGAAACTTCGCTTACTGTAGTTCGTTCTTGGTTTTTGTACAAATAAGGTGTGTTCAGAGTTTCTTAAGTTGTATCCTGTGCTGCGAGATTCGAACAATTCATGGAGATAAAACGGAGTTAGATCGTTCATTGTTTTAAACATTAGTATAGCCTTATGCTTTTTCCGACGTGTTAAAAAATTATCCCAGCCCAGCTTACTAAAAAGGTCGCTGGAACTAGCATCATATTGAGATTTAGTGATGACCCTCGCTGCCCTATTTTTCAATTTTTGCAATTTGTCATTTAACGTGATATTCAAACCATCCCAAACTGAGATACAATAATCAAAGTGACGTTGAATTAATGCTCCATAAATTTCAGTCAGAGCAGTGTGTTTGTATCTATAAATTGGCGTATCCGTTTAAGAGCTCTAATAGCTGATGCAATCTTTTTGGAAATATTTTCGACATGTCGTGCCCATGTAAGATGCTCATCGATTTGCAAGCCTAAGGATTTTGTTTCGTTGACTCTCTTAATTGTCATTCCGTCGATTTCTATCCTTAATATGTGTTCGTTATCATGTGCTAGTAATCTTTGACGAGATCCAATTATCATGAATTCCGCTTTAGCTACGTTAAGACTCAGATCTATTAGCTAGTAGCCATTGATGAAGATTTTTCAATTCAGAGTTTATTATTTGCTCAAGCTCCGTGACGGAATTTGCTGCAATGCTAATATTAGTGTCGTCAGCAAACATTCTTGGAGAGGCTCTGTCGAGACAATTAGGCAAATCATTTATGTATATTAAGAACCGAATAGAGGTCCCAAGTTAGTGCCTTGTGGTACCCCACAAGTTATTTTAGCAGTTTCAGATAACTCACCATTGACGCAACATCTTTGACTGCGGTTGTTTAGGTATGATTCGAAGAATTTGATACCATTTTCATCAACGCCATAAATTCGTAACTTCCGTAAAAGAATGGTGTGATCAATAGTATCAAATGCTTTTTTAAGATCGATAAAAATTACTCCGTTAAGAAGGCCTTTATCTATATGTATTGACCAATTATCCGTGGCTTCTATTAGGGAAGTTAGTGTACTGTGCAATGATCGAAATCCAGATGATGAGACGCAGATATTAGATTGTTGTTGTTCAGATACTCATACAACTGCTCAAAAGTAAACTTTTCAAAAATCTTTGCCACTACAGAAATAACAGATATTGGTCGATAGTTGTTCATGTCGTCTTTTTTACCTTTCTTAAAAATTGGAGTAACTCTCGCTAGCTTCCAGTCTGTAGGAAAGATGCTTGTACTTATAGTCTTATTAAATATTCGAGTTAACGATGGGGCAACTATATAATTTTATTTCAGCCGGCTGAAATTCTAGTTAAAAGTTTGTAACTGGGTATTTTATCAAGACCAGCTGCTTTCCTTTCGTTAATTGCTTTTAGTTTTTTGTAAACTGCATATACAGTGAGGGATTTCAATGAAAATGTGGTTTCAGCAGGCACAACATATACGTCAGGATCTACGATAGAGGGTGGTATATCGGATGCTAAATTTTCACCCACACTAGCAAAGTGAGAATTAAATGTCTCCGCTATTTGCTTGGGTGTAGGCTATATATAGTTTCTTCACCCACTTTTTATTGGATATAGTTTTGTGGCCAGAGGCATTACGAGAGTTTAATTCGTTAGTAAGTTTCCAGGTTGATTTTGGATTTTTCCTGTTAGCCTAAGGGTAATTTAACCTTAAAATATTGACTTTTTGCACTTTAAATTTAATTATTCATGCTATTTCGTGAATGTTCATATTGTTGCCAAATTAATAGATCGCCGGTCTGCTTAGCTTTCCTTTTCAGAAAATCTCTCTTACGCATTTTTTGCTTTAATTGGCTGGTGATCCAGGGAGATTTCTTTTTCCCAACTCTTTTTTATCTGAGTGGTGCATGCTTGTCAATACTATAATTAACATGTTCTTCCATTTCACCCACATTTCATCAGGATCATTGCTTAGCTAGGTTTGCCCATGCTTGTTGTTCTAAATCTCTTAAATAATTTTCTGTATTAAAATTTTTCATGCCTCTTATTTGAACTAGTCGCGAGCATGTTTGTTTGTAGTGGACTTTGTGTGTCATATAGACTAAAACATGGTCACTTATAGAAAGTTCTATTATCCCTGAATTTACGATCTTTGATGGAGCGTTTGTAACACAAAGATCAATATGGGTAGAAGAATATGGTGCAGTACTGGTAGGATCTACAATAAGTTGTTTTAAGCCAAAAATTTCGAATATGTCTTTCAATTTATTTCCATTGACTGATGTTATACCCGCCATAAGATCCACGTTTATGTCGCCTAGGAGGACTGAAATAGTCATGATTTATACCATCAACTTTCTCTACCATTTTCTCAAAATAAATCAAAGTGACACACTGATGAGTCTGGGGCCCTATACCAGGTACTAATTAATAGTGATCTAGTTCGAGGTTTAGTAATTTCTACAGTTAGATACTCTAATTTATCAGAGCTTAAATCTTTACAAATTTTGTAGTTAAGATTGCATCTTATATAGATCAGCCGTTCCGCACGTTGTAACCATTAATCTATTGTAGTTGTAAACAGGGGCGTAGGAAGCACCTGGAGTTTGGGGGGGCACCGGCTTGTAGGGGCACATTACTATCGGAAAGGGCACCTAAAAAATTTTTCCCGGAAATGTTGTCGACGGGGGGGGGGAAATTTTCCGTCGTATCATACCGAAATTTATGTTTGTGACCTAATTTTTAAAAAAAATTTGTAAATTTCCACACAAAAACGGCACCTATTGTTTTAATTTAGTATTTACAGCGACATCAGCTTCTACAAAAGGGGCACTTTTCCTCACAAAAAAGGGCACTTTTCAACACAAAAAGGGCACTTTTTATCACAAAAAAGAATCACTTTTAGTCCTTTAAAAAAATTTGGGGGGGGCACGGGGGGCACGTGCCCCCCCGCTTCCTACGCCCCTGGTTGTAAAGCCATTGTATCCAGCAATAAAGTGGTTGGTTTACAATTCAATAACCCTAGTCCAAACCCTAATCCTACTCCTAATCCTAATCCCAACCCTAACACCTAATCCTATCTAAACTTGATGGCCTTTTTTAACAAAACGTTTGTCCAATGCTAGTTGTGGTTTTGTACGGAAGCCTAGACACGACACCTAAATACGTTTTTCACTTTTACATTTTTCGGTTTGTAATCTTTGGGTTCGTGATTTTCAGGTTCTTGATTTTCAGGTAGTTGATTTTCAGGTTCTTGACTTTTATATTTTGGATTTTTAGGTATCTAGGTTTTTAATTTTTAGATTTATTCTCAATTTGAAGATAGTAAATTGCAAATAATGGTCCATTATAATACTCAACATTATAGCTATATAGAGCGGCGATTAAAAGTTTAAAACACATACTGCCGACTGCCGTGATATTATTCATCGTTCTAGTAGCTAATTATAACTCACTTCTCGTATATTCAAGCTTATATTTAAAAGTAAAACCACGGACGTATATACCGATATCTGTTCGAGGGGGGGGGGGAGTGAACTCAAAAGTCTGGGGTCCCTTCCTTTCAGACTACACCTCCTCCCCCCTTTTTGGGTTTTTGATCTTTTTGGGTTTTGAATTTTGGGTTTTTGATTTTCAGTCTTTGATTTTTCAGTCTTTGATTTTTCGGTCTTTGATTTTTGGATCTTTAATTTTTCATGCAGTCTTTGATTTTTTGGTCTTTGATTTTTGGGTCATTGATTTTCGGGGTTTTCGGTGGACTTGACCGTTTTGTGTTATGAGACATGTTGCTGGAACACGAAGTTAGCAAACAGATAGAG